ATTAAATCTTATTAAAATCGGTTAATATACACCCCCAGGAACAATTACACTTTTTTTTTTTTTACATTTTCTGACAAGCGGCAACTTGAAAATTACCATATCTAAGTGTTCATAAATTCAAGACAAAGGAGATGATTGTGGACTACAGGAAAAAGAAGAGGACCGAGCAAGCCCCCATTCTCATCGACGGGGCTGTAGTGGAGCAAGTTGAGAGCTTCAAGTTCCTTGGTGTCCACATCACCAACAAACTATCATGGTCCTGTTGGGTTTTATTTTTTAATTGGATCTGTATGTGATGAATAGCTTGGAAGGAATGCATTAATGAGGAGCACTGTACTGATATGGATTGTTTCACATAACAGGTTGATAAGAACACTCTCTTTGTTGTCTGTGAAACTGTCCTTGAACATGGCTACAGTGGATTTGTGTATTTTCGGTGCTGACTCCGCAGGTTATTATCATAGCAACTATGCCTGGCAACAAATGGAACGGATTGGCTGAAATGGAGTCTGGACCACACTCAGTCCTTTGCTCTGGTTGGCCAACAGAAGAGGTGGAGGCTTTCTGTCAGAGTATTTGAGAAAAAATTTGTAAACAATAATTCTAGTTCTCTGTCGGCCCTGCGTGGTTTTTCAGTGGACCCGTATATACGAACCTTCATACTTATCATACATACATTTTGCATATAATAAATTAAGCTTGGATTGAAGATCTCTTGATTCTTATTCCAATACCAGATTTGAATTACGCAATTTCTAACAGTCCAAACACACCAAGACAGTTGTGAAGAGGACACGACAAAGCCTCTTCCCCCTCAGGAGACTGAAAAGATTAGGCATGGGTCCTCAGATCCTCAAAATGTTCTACAGCTGCACCATCGAGAGTATCCTGACTGGTTGCATCATTTTTTTGGTCATTTTAGCAGACGCTCTTATCCAGAACGACTGAGTTCATCCATTTTTTTTTTCATACTGGCCCCCCGTGGGAATCGAACCCACAACCCTGGCATTGCAAACGCCATGCTCTACCAACTGAGCTACACGGGGCCTGGTACACTGCCTGGTATGGCAACTGCTCAGCCTCCGACCGCAAGGCACTACAGAGGGTAGTGCGTACGGCCCAGTATATCACCGGGGCCAAGCTTCCTGCCATCCAGGACCTCTATACCAGGCAGTGTCAGAGGAAGGCCCTAAAAATTGTCAGACTCCAGCCACCCTAGTCATAGACTGTTCTCTCTGCTACCGCACGGCAAGCAGTATCGGAGCGCCAAGTCTAGGTCCAAAAGGCTTCTTAACAGCTTCTACCCCCAAGCCATAAGACTCCTGAACAGCTAATCAAATTGCTATCCGGACTATTTGCATTGTTATTTTTTACTTAACACTTATTTTTCTTGAAACTGCATTGTTGGTTGAGGGCTTGTAAGTGAGCATTTCACTGTAAGGTCTACCTACACCTGTTGTATTCGGCGCATGTGACAAATATAATTAGATAAAAATGTATTTGAATACACACACGCCATAATGACACACACATAATCATAACACTAAAAACACCAACGGGAGCAATGGCAGGTATGTAGAAACACAGGTTTACCCCTCCTCCAGAGTAATTAGCAACTGTTTTGCATTTCTTTGATGGGTAGTGTGCATGTAGCGTTGTCATAACTTGCAATTTCTCAAGCCAGGTTATGAATTCTCCATGTTTGTAAAGCGGTGCAGTGGCCTGTATTCTTGAGGCAAGACAGCCATGCGTGGCTGCAAATACATTGTGTGTAATTGTACTATCGATTATTATCCATCCTGTGTTATCAGCAAGCAAAAATAGTTGTGCCCCCTTAGTCATTTCTGATGCCCCCTTGCCGAGTTAATCCTGCCGCCGGGCCTGACTCTTCTACATGACTGCGCTGGTAATACGGTTGCTGTCCTTTCAGAATCACGAACCTGTCACACACTGAAGGCCTATACATGTAGGTTTGCCCCTGCGCAAACATGTCTATAATAGATATAAAGGCTGTTAAGGTATTAATGTTTCAAAAAAGGAGTGTATATATTTGGGCTGGCGAAGCGGTTTTATGCTCTGACTGAATGGAAGCTGATAATTATGAGTCTCGGCTGGTCTTGGGAAGAAACAAATGTATCAAACACAGAGACAAGAACGAGAGTTCTACAACACCGGCTGCTCTACCTCATTCATCATTTCATCATGTGTAAAGATGGTGGAATTATGAGGAAATGAAGTCAAGGTCAGAATACGTTGTATCTGTAGACACACCTCTGCTACACCTTCATTTATTTGATCTCCACCCCCAATGAACAGTGGTTTAATACCATTCTATTCAAATGCTTAAATTCAAGGTCAGAATACGTGTAGGGAGAAAAGTGCAGAAAAAGGGAAGTACGTTCCATTTACGCCATGCTTAACTCGGGTAGGAATTCCCCCCTAAGAGATGTAGAGTATAAACTGCTTTCTTGCTATCTGTACAGTATCATCAATGAAAATATATCAGTGAGGATATTCTTGAGCCCAGACAAATATGGAATTTCTTAGGTGTAAAAGACAATTCTGGGTGGGGTGGGGGTAATCAAGGTACTCTTTGAAGAAGTAGGTTTTCAGATGTTTTCGGAAGATGGGAAGGGATCAGCTGTCCTGACGTTAGGGAGAAGCTTGTTCCACTATTGGGGTGCCTGGACAGAGAAAAGCTTTGACTGGAATGAGCAGAGAGGAGTGCTCGGGTTGGGGTTGGGGTTTAGGGTTTGAGCAGAGCCTGAAGGTAGGGAGGGGTGGTTCCCCTTGCTGCTCCTTGGGCAAGAACCAGGGTCTTGAAATGGATGCGCGCTTCGACTGGGAGCCGGTACAGAGGGCAGAGGAACAGGGGAAGTTTGAACACCAGGTGGGCTGCAGCTGCAGCGTTCTTTGTGCAGCGAATTCGTACTAGATGAAAAGTCAGGCGTGTGACATTCTGGAATTTATAGCTACATTTCCGATACTTCACATACTATAAAACGTTATATTCTATTCTACCCAAAAAGCCTACTAAACAGTAGGCTAGTAGGGATTCTGGACATGGCCCATATTTATGTTGCATGTTAAATTAAGTTACCCCTGACATGCTTTTAGTTGCTCAGCTGTCCACCTGGGCTTGTTTGTAGACAGTCCACTGATGACACTGACATTCAAAGGAGAACAATTGAAGAGTTTATTTCCAAAATACTATATCCACCAATTTTTCACCATTTGTTTTTTTCATCAGAAAGTATTGCTTATGGGTACCTTCATGTGTGTTTTGCAGAACTGGTAGAATCTTATTCAACATTATTTACAGCTGTAATTGCTGCCAAAGCTGCTTCCGCCAAGTATCATTAACTCTGGGGTGTGAAAAGGAGGAATAAGGATACAGAGCGTTATTTATTTAGAACAGCCACACCTTTTCCTTCAGAAGAACCCAAGAGGAAGAGAAATCACATTATGGAATGGAGTCAATGGAACGGTATGAAACACATGGAAACCATGTCTTTGATGTGTTTGATACATTTACATTTTAGTCATTTAGCAGACGCTCTTATCCAGAGCGACTTACAGTTAGTTAGTGCATACATTTTTCATACTGGCCCCCCGTGGGAATCGAACCCACAACCCTGGCGTTGCAAGCGCCATGCTCTACCAACTGAGCTACAGGAAATCTTCAGTGGAAAAATACCCACACAAAAAAATCCTTCTTACTGACTGCTGTTTCACACCCTATTGTCTTTCGGGTTTTTGTTAAGTGGTATGCTTGGGACAACCCAACTCTGACATCACCCAATTGAAGTTGACATTTAAAACGGTTAACCCATAACAGTCTAAGCCCTGTACGTGTTCCTTTCCACAGAGGGGTCATATTAGTGTGTAGCCCAAACTGTTCAGACGCTACAGACAGAAGTTGGCAAATCGGCTGTACCGACTTCAGACTAGTCCCAGATGCTTGTGGGGGTCATAGTGCAAACCGTTCTGACGCTACAGATCATTGTGTGAGAAGACTGATTTTCAGGATGTCTCTATGTCTGACAAACACCACTGTAGCTCAGGCTCTAGTCACCTTTCACCGCAGATGCAGAAGTGCGACATCGGTGGCTGTGGTGGATTGAGACACATCCAATGCAAAAAGATATCTAGTTTAAACTGACAGGTTTTTATGGTAATCGACTTTAGGGTTTTTTAAGGTAAGGGTTATGATTAGGATTAGGGTTTAGGGTAGGGTCATCCCAAGGATCCCACTTAGCATCTACCATTGTCTTGGGCCTCGTGGAAAAAACATTTGTTAATCAAATGTTTTACCTGAGATTATTAACATATTAATAACATATTAACACCCTTTAGATACTCTGTTAATGATACATTGTCATTTCATGGCAATGAGTAAATTCATCCTATCGCATTCATCCCATACATTAATAAAGTGCAACATATGTGAGCTTAGTCAATGCTCATAGTCATGGAAAACTCACAGTAAGTATTTGGTGTGCAGATTTTAGTCTCATGATCATAAAGAATTCCAGGCACAGGAACCGGTTTTCTCTCTTTCGCAATCTCATGCACTGCTTTGTTGTCGGGTAATGAAGAGAGAGCTTGGTATGCACTGTTAACATCTACATATAACATTTATCAGATACAGTTGTAAAATTACAACTAAATTACAGTTGTAAAATTACAACTAAATTACAGTTGTAAAATTACAACTAAATTACAGTTGTAAAATTATTCTAAATTGCAATGGTGTGATAAAAATAGTGCCGACATCATAACTCTATAATGAAACCAAAGAGCTAGGCTTGGGCTAACCATAGATTACAGCATTAGTTGGACAGAGATAAAAAAACTGAGACGGAAAGGTATGCAAGGGACGCATCGCGTGTGTGTCTAACAGGTAATGTGGTGTGTTGGAAGGGAGGAGCTGAGAAAATAAAACAGAAGAGAGGGGTACTTAAGAAGGAAGATTGAGTCAAGGTTACCAATAAGAAAGCATGGCCTTCCTCAGGACTCATTGTGTGGTGACCATGATGGTCACATTCCTGTCAAAAGGTAAGTTGTACAATTCTCAATGTATCTCTGTCTTTATCCTACAGCGTTGTTCATTTATACTCACCTGGGTTTTAAGAAGTTGGCTACTAAGTTTCTTTCAGTTTGTATATAAAGACATTTGGACTGAATCAATAAACTGAACTCTATCGATTTAAAACTACAATATGTATTTATTATTATTTATTATTATTATTAAAGGTGTGCAGGTGTACAGCTTTGTGTTTTCAAAAGTATTGAGTGAAGCAGAAATACTAATTGATGACATTAAAGAAAAAAGCTAGCCAGTTATAGGCGTCATTGTCTTTGCGGCATTACCTATTTCACTTAAGGTGGCATCCAGAGTCGTGTCATGACCTTGTGAGAGACGGTGTATCCTATTATTTAATAACCTGTGACTGATGTCTTTTGTCCTACTACTGTCCGAGCATTCTTCCAGCATTCCAAAATCTTTCAAAAACCTTCTGCTCTCTTGCTGTGAACGAGTAGTGACAATTATTCTGGAATATGGGCAGTGATGATACATTTTCAAGCACAAACCCTCATCTAACAAGTATGTCTTGGTTAAAGGGCACATGCCATACACATACAAGGAAACATGTTAAACTTAGCAGGTGGGCTTAAAGGCGTTCGGTTTGCTCCTAGCAGAACTTGGCTAGGCGAAGCGACCGTCTGTGCTCACATACTCCCTAAAAACCTTCAATATTACTGTTGTTTGTTCCTCTTGAGCCACCGTTGCAACAACATAGCCAGAAACACTTCCTCAAAATAGTCAGAATTAACCTAAGATAAATCAAGAAATCGGTCATTAATTTTGACATTTTTGGTACGGTATTTCTCAAGTGAAAAAATGTGCATGAAAACTAGTCGTCTCTCATTGAATGACAACAAACACTTCCCACTGGGCAAAAACTGGTTGAATCAACATTGTTTTCACGTCATTTCAATCCCAAAATCCAAAGTGATGACATTGATCAATGTAAAAAAAAAAGTCATCAACATTAAGGGAATTTCATTTCTTTTTTTGAACCAAAATCCAATGACTTGGTGAAATGTTTTTGATTTTACATTGTATTCACGTTAGTTGACAACTCTACCAAAGTAAATCCAAACTACCGAACTTCAACTTGCCTCAACAACAAAAAATTGTGTGCACGAAAAGACAAAACAAAAACTGCCAAAGACCAAAATGTCATAATATATGCACAAACTGTTTTGGCTAGGAAGCACACGGTAAGCTTAAGACAATCGGTGTGTTATGACAATTGGTACGAATGCTGACGTCAGTCAGTATGTTCACTCTTTCATCAGTATGGGACAGTATATACGCTTAGATTATTTTTTTCTCCAAAAGGGCTCTTTGGCTGTCCCCATGGCAGACCCTTTGAAGAACACTTTTAGGTTCCAGAGAGAACCCTCGTGTTCCATGTAGAACCCTCTGTGGAAAGGGTTCTACCTGCAACCGAAAAGGGTTCTTCAAAGGATTCTGCCATGGGGACAGGCCAAGAAACCCTTTTAGGTTCAAGATAGAACCAAGTGTACCCAGTGAAAATGCCAGGGTTTGGATACAGAGAGTAAGAGATTACACCTTTGTTAAGGATTAAGAGGATTTTGTTTTCTTTCTGTCTTGTATTTCAGGCTGTCATTCCCAGCTGAGTGGTAAGTCCTTTTCACCACTTACAGATGTTCTCTAAACACGATTAAAACCTTTATAATCTACTGTTACATTAATGTGACCTATTCAACAATGACCTTAACAAACAACCCATCCTTCTCTGTCACTGTTAGTGTGCGGAACACCTCCTCTCAACACCAGGATCGTGGGGGGTCAGGATGCTCCTGCAGGGAGTTGGCCATGGCAGGCCAGTCTTCAGAGATTAGGCAAGCATTTTTGTGGGGGATCCCTCATCAACAAAGAGTGGGTGCTGACTGCTGCTCACTGCTTCCCCAGGTAAGGATTTGCAGGATTGCGGGAAAACCTTTAACCCTAACACCAAACCTAATCGAAATTCAACTGAGCCAGTCTTTTACAACAATACTGTTACCTTTTTATATATTTATTCCCTCAGTACCAGTTCATCAGATGTGATGGTCTACGTGGGTCGTCAGAGCCAGGAGGGCTCCAACCCCAACGAGGTGAACCGGACGGTCACTCAGATCATCCGCCACCCCAACTACATCAGTAGTTCCAGTGGCAACGACGTGTGTCTGCTGAAGCTCTCCTCCCCCGTGGATTTTACAAACTTCATTCGGCCAGTCTGCCTAGCTGCACCAAACAGCTCTTTCCATGCTGGAACTACTAGCTGGGTCACCGGCTGGGGCGACATCAGCAGTGGAGGTGAGCGCTGTAGCTTGCTTTAAGTACCGCTGATGATGGATCAGAATTATATGATTGATCTTGTCTTGTGGATGTCTCTCCTCAGTGTCCCTGCCTTCACCACAGACCCTACAGGAGGTGGGTGTGCCAGTAGTGGGGAACAGGCAGTGTAACTGTAACTATGGAGTTGGCTCCATCACTGACAACATGATCTGTGCTGGTCTATCAGCAGGAGGAAAGGATTCCTGTCAGGTAAAATCTCTTGGTTATCTTGTTTGTTTATTAAAATGTGGGCTAATGACACATTCGTAATCTGTGTCTGGTTGCTCAGATCCAGATTATACCTAGCCTAGTCCTATATTGAAAAGCCCTTTCAATAGAGATTCTCCATTAAAAGTGCTTTTTAGTCCAAGACTAGTCTTAATCGGTGTCTGAAAAAACGGACCCATTATGTTTCATAAGAAAATCTAATCTCAGTGAGTGTAAATCTGTCAATGCATAGGGGGACTCAGGAGGTCCGATGGTGAGCAAACAGGGTACTCGCTGGATCCAGTCTGGCGTTGTGAGTTTCGGCAACGGCTGTGCCCAGGCAAATGCCCCAGGAGTGTATGCTAGAGTGTCTCAGTACCAGACCTGGATCAACACCCAGATCACCAGTGACCAGCCAGGCTATGTCACCTTCACCTCCAGTGGGACTGATTCTGACCTCAGTGTCTCGTGTACTGGTCTACCAGCCCCAACTACCACCACAACTGCCCCTACGACCACCACTACCACCACAACTGCCCCTAAAACCACTCTTAAACGTAAGTGGATTTACTTCCGTCTATGACACAAACAAATTGGTCCCTCCTCTTAGAGGCACAGCCGTCTGTTACTCCTGTTATAGCTACAGTGGGGAAAAAAAAGTATTTAGTCAGCCACCAATTGTGCAAGTTCTCCCACTTAAAAAGATGAGAGGCCTGTAATTTTCATCATAGGTACACGTCAACTATGACAGACAAAATGAGAAAAAAAAATCCAGAACATCACATTGTAGGGTTTTTAATGAATTTATTTGCAAATTATGGTGGAAAATAAGTATTTGGTCAATAACAAAAGTTTCTCAATACTTTGTTATATACCCTTTATTGGCAATGACACAGGTCAAACATTTTCTGTAAGTCTTCACAAGGTTTTCACACACTGTTGCTGGTATTTTGGCCCATTCCTTCATGCAGATCTCCTCTAGAGCAGTGATGTTTTGGGGCTGTCGCTGGGCAACACGGACTTTCAACTCCCTCCAAAGATTTTCTATGGGGTTGAGATCTGGAGACTGGCTAGGCCACTCCAGGACCTTGAAATGCTTCTTACGAAGCCACTCCTTCGTTGCCCGGACGGTGTGTTTGGGATCATTGTCATGCTGAAAGACCCAGCCACGTTTCATCTTCAATGCCCTTGCTGATGGAAGGAGGTTTTCACTCAAAATCTCACGATACATGGCCCCATTCATTCTTTCCTTTACACGGATCAGTCGTCCTGGTCCCTTTGCAGAAAAACAGCCCCAAAGCATGATGTTTCCACCCCCATGCTTCACAGTAGGTATGGTGTTCTTTGGATGCAACTCAGCATTCTTTGTCCTCCAAACACGACGAGTTGAGTTTTTACCAAAAAGTTATATTTTGGTTTCATCTGACCATATGACATTCTCCCAATCCTCTTCTGGATCATCCAAATGCACTCTAGCAAACTTCAGATGGGCCTGGACATGTACTGGCTTAAGCAGGGGGACACGTCTCGCACTGCAGGATTTGAGTCCCTGGCGGCGTAGTGTGTTACTGATGGTAGGCTTTGTTACTTTGGTCCCAGCTCTCTGCAGGTCATTCACTAGGTCCCCCCGTGTGGTTCTGGGATTTTTGCTCACCGTTCTTGTGATCATTTTGACCCCACGGGGTGAGAACTTGCGTGGAGCCCCAGATCGAGGGAGATTATCAGTGGTCTTGTATGTCTTCCATTTCCTAATAATTGCTCCCACAGTTGATTTCTTCAAACCTAGCTGCTTACCTATTGCAGATTCAGTCTTCCCAGCCTGGTGCAGGTCTACAATTTTGTTTCTGGTGTCCTTTGACAGCTCTTTGGTCTTGGCCATAGTGGAGTTTGGAGTGTGACTGTTTGAGGTTGTGGACAGGTGTCTTTTTATACTGATAACAAGTTCAAACAGGTGCCATTTAATACAGGTAACGAGTGGAGGACAGAGGAGCCTCTTAAAGAAGAAGTTACAGGTCTGTGAGAGCCAGAAATCTTGCTTGTTTGTAGGTGACCAAATACTTATTTTCCACCATAATTTGCAAATAAATTCATTAAAAATCCTACAATGTGATTTTCTGGATTTTTTTTCTCTCAATTCGTCTGTCATAGTTGACGTGTACCTATGATGAATATTACAGGCCTCTCTCATCTTTTTAAGTGGGAGAACTTGCACCATTGGTGGCTGACTAAATACTTTTTTCCCCACCGTATAGGCTACTTATCTGTGACTCTCCATTTGACCACATCCAAACTTTAGTGTTTATCCCTCTCTTTAAATCTACACTCAGACAACAGTCTCCCTCAGACAGTGTTACAGTCCTGACCTCTGTAGCTCTTCTCTCCCTGTTTCTGCAGCGGTGGTGTGTGGCAGTGCCTCTTTGAACTCCCTTGCTGGTGGGGGCTTGGCCTCAGCGGGCTCCTGGCCCTGGATAGCCAGTCTACAGACAAACGGAACACACGTATGCGGGGGCACATTGGTGGCAGAGCACTATGTCATGAGCGATGCTGGGTGCTTCTCCAGGTAACACACTCCACTTGTATGTAAACGGGAGAGTTGGTCACATGCAATATGGTCAGATCTCCATCACTTGGTGCCTTGGCGCTCAAGTTGAACCAAGGACCTATTACATAGAAGGTATCGGTAATGCCAAGCTAAAGTTCCCCATCTTCGCTATTCCCCCTTCCCAGTCAGTCCAACGCCTCTCAGTGGACCGTGATCATGGGTCGTCTGAAGCAGAGCGGCTCCAACCCGAACGAGGTAACCCTTAACGTCATCAACATCACCATGAGCAACTTGACGGCCAACAACGTGGCAATCCTCCGACTGGCCAGCCAACCCACGTTGTCTGACTACATCCAGCCTATCTGTGTGGACCAGGGAACCAACACCTTCAGCATAGGGACTCGGTGCTGGGTGGCTGGCTGGGGCACGGGCCAGGGTGGAGGTGAGTCAGCATAGGGACTCGGTGCTGGGTGGCTGGCTGGGGCACGGGCCAGGGTGGAGGTGAGTCAGCATAGGGACTCGGTGCTGGGTGGCTGGCTGGGGCACGGGCCAGGGTGGAGGTGAGTCAGTGCTGGGTGGCTGGCTGGGGCACGGGCCAGGGTGGAGGTGAGTCAGTGCTGGGTGGCTGGCTGGGGCACGGGCCAGGGTGGAGGTGAGTCAGTGCTGGGTGGCTGGCTGGGGCACGGGCCAGGGTGGAGGTGAGTCAGTGTGTAATACTGGAACAGACTAACACAACTGGAGGTTGACTTCTGTGACAAAGTCCAGCATTTGCCAGCAGCATACCACCCTGCATCCCACTGCTGCCTTGACTCTAAAGCTAAGCAGGGTTGGTCCTGGTTGGTCCCCGGATGGGAGACCAGATGCTGCTGGAATTGGTGTTGGAGGGCCAGTAGGAGGCACTCTTTCCTCTGGTAAAAAAAAATATCCCAATGCCCCAGGGCAGTGATTGGGGACATTGCCCTGTGTAGGGTGCGGTCTTTCGGATGGGACGTTAAAAAAGTGTCCTGACTCTCTGTGGTCACTAAAGATCCCATGGCACTTATCGTAGGGGTGTTAACCCTGGTGTCCTGGCTAAATTCCCAATCTGATCATCATGGCCACCTAATCATCCCCAGCTTCCGATAGGCTCATTCATCCTCTCTCCTGTAACTATTCCCCTGGTCATTGCTGTAGATGAGAATGTCTTCTCAGTCAACTTGCCTGGTTACATAAATAAATGTGTTCTTTCTGTTTGGTCAATTTGTGATTTTCATCCTCTCTCTTTCTCTTTTCTGTCTCGTTCCTTAGCCGAACAGAACTTGCAGCAGTCCCAGACCACTGTGGTGAATTGTGAGAGCTCCGGCTCCTCTGATAACATCTGCACTGCTGCCTTGGACCTTCAACAGGTACAGATGGGTCCGACAAACAACGCAAACGCACAATAATGGGTTTCAAAAGTAGACTCAGAGGTGCCAACTGGTGTACAGCAAGGATGGTTTCATTCTGTCTGTCCTAGTTATTGCGGATAGCTCTGCAACTGTTGGGATGTGATCTATTTGACTTTGGCATCTCCAGAATTGGCCTCAGCAGAGCATACCTGATGGTATGACATTTACATCCACCGAGTGAGGAAAGTCCAAGCTTCATAATGATCTTCCAGTTAAGTAGCTTGGTAGGCAACCAGTCTGGTTATCTATCTGACATGACAATGCTGACCTCCCCCCCCCATGTGTTCATTCATTCTTCTCTTTCCCCACAGGGTGAAAGGGGTGGTCCTCTGATGTGTAAGCAGGGTGACGCGTGGTACCAGGCTGCTGTGTTGACTGTCGACAGCAGCAACAAGACCAGCTCCAGCGAAACACGATGGAGCCGGAGTCCTCGCTCCTCCAACATCCAGGTCTTCACCAAAACCGCCCGCTTCCAGAGCTTTCTTCAGACCACTGTGGACACATTCCCTTCACCCGTCACAGCCAGAACCCCCACCAACGGCCCCAACACTGTCAACGGCACCAACACTGCCAACGGCACAACTGTCAGCGCAACTGCCGCTGTCGTTACTCCTGCCAGTGAGGCAACTCTGGCCCAATCATCCCTCTTCCTGCTCTTCTTGTCTCTCAGTCAAGGCTGGTGACGCTGAGGAGGCACCTTTATGTAAACCTCTGGCAATAGGATCTAGATATCCTCAGTTTGAAGTATGTACCATTGCACTTTATATATTGTTGCTATAGAGTATTTTGGTGAGTTTAATCTTGGTTAATCCAGAACTAAAATCTTGCGTAATTTGGTCAGCTGCGTGATTTAGTTCTGGGTCCATATGTGTTAGAAATTGAGAGTTTGGGTTTGCGAAGTCTCCACCCATCGCAAAAGGAAACTCTCAGCCAAAGCACTGACATTTAAGCACCGCCTTCGCCCAATCCTGATACGTCCAAATTATCATTGAGGAAAACCCAAACATTGTAACTATTGATTCTCGTTATCCTATGCATCTCATTCCGTCACCACAGATTATTTGGTTTATGTGCAGAATTTGTCCACGAGAGATTATGGTGAGTTAAACACTCCTGCCAATATGTAACAGCAATGTCTGGTCTAATGCTGTCAGCAAACTGAAAAACACAAAGCTTATCTCATCTAATTGTTTTTTTATTCTGACTGGATTCAAATATGAAACTGCCACTGTAATCAGTTTGAGCTCACAAGAATTCTTTCTTTGTACTCTTATCAAATCTATGCAGTTCAGTATTTCATGTTATGTCACAGATCAGGAAATGCTTTATTTAAATGTTATGACTTGATCTACTGTTTTATCCGGAAATTAAAATGATCAATTAATTGTCTAGTTTATTTTTGTATTTCCAATAAACAGCAGAATTGATATAGACTAGACACCACACCATTTTAGTGCAGACAAACGATTGTGTGAAATGTGTTGTATATCAGTTGTACAACCTGGGTGATTACTATAGGTCATAGATTATATTCAACTTGAAAATGTAATCTTCAATTCCGCATTTAGAGTTCCATTATATCCTTTATATAAACAAAAATCCAGAATTATTTGAACGATAGAAGAGCAATAGCTGCCTCGGTAATGTCCTTTGATGAGCTCCAGCCTGTGTCGGATCCATGGTCGTCCCAGTCAAAGGAAGAGAAGTCTCCACACTGTATAGGAGCTAACTGTGGGAAATGTCCACCTCCTCCAATACACCACACACACACACACACACACACACACACACACACAATATGAGAAACACACAGGACACAAATGAGAAGGACATAAGACACACACAATATATAAGAAAAACACACGCACGCACGCACGCACACACACACACTTTGACTCACATGTTCAGTGTTGCAGCCTATTGTTTTGATCCCAGAGCAGATGACCATGGCAGCCCCTTCGTAATTTATCGCTCTGAAAGTGATGAAGCCAGGCTGAAATTCATCCGCAATATATAAATAGGAAAAAACTTTTTTTTATATCGATTTCAAAATGGAGATACTTTTTCCATCACCCTTCCATCCTTTCCATTACAAATCACTATTAGTCAGGATCATCTTCTAATATACAGATGGAAGTCTCTTTCTTTCCAATATATTTATGCCTCTAATTTATTATTTAAGCAATAAGGTATGAGAACCTGGGGATTATCGTGTGACAACTCGGTTTGGCCTTGGGTCTAAGAACAGCCCTTAGTCGGGAGTTATCACATGATAATCCCGGGTTCGAGGGCATTATTGCTTTTATAAAACGTTTGGCAACATGGAGTGAGCTCCTAAAGTATTGGGACAGTGACAAATGTTTTGTTTTGGCTCTGTACTCCAGTACTTTGGATTTTAAATGATACAACAACTATGAGGTTAAAATAGAGACTGTCAGCTTTAATTTGAGGGTATTTTCATCCATAGCAGTTGAACTGTTTAGAAATTACAGCACATTTTGTACATAGTCCACACATTTTAGGGGACCAAAGGTATTGGGACAAATTCACTTCTATGTGTATCAAAGTAGTAACAAGTTAGGTATTTGGTCCCATATTCGCAGCACGCAATGACTACATCAAGCTTGGGACAAAAATACATTGTTTGATGCATTTGCTGTTTGTTTTGGTTGCGTTTCCGATTATTGTACCTTTCTGGACCTGTCGAGGATAGAACCATTACTGATCCAAATGGTTGCAGAATCAGGCCGAGGCTGTATGGTACTCTCTGTATATAGCTCCACATTGATCTGGTACTGGTACTCTCTGTATATAGCTCCACATTGATCTGGTACTGGTACTCCCTGTATATAGCTCCACATTGATCTGGTACTGGTACTCTCTGTATATAGCTCCACATTGATCTGGTACTGGTACTCCCTGTATATAGCTCCACATTGATCTGGTACTGGTACTCTCTGTATAGAGCTCCACATTGATCTGGTACTGGTATTCTCTGTATATAGCTCCACATTGATCTGGTACTGGTACTCTCTGTATATAGCTCCACATTGATCTGGTACTGGTACTCTCTGTATATAGCTCCACATTTATCTGGTACTGGTACTCCCTGTATATAGCTCCACATTGATCTGGTACTGGTACTCTCTGTATATAGCTCCACATTGATCTGGTACTGGTACTCTCTGTATATACAGTGAGGGAAGAAAGTCTTTGATCCTCTGCTGATTTTGTACGTTTGCCCACTGACAAAGACATGATCAGTCTATAATTTTAATGGTAGGTTTATTTGAACAGTGGGAGACAGAATAACAACAAAAAAATCCAGAAAGAAACGCATGTCAAAAATGTTATGAATTGATTTGCATTTTAATGAGGGAAATAAGTATTTGACCCCCTCTCAATCAGAAAGATCAGCAAGATCTCACCTCGTGGAGTTGCAATGATCATGAGAATGGTGAGGAATCAGCCCAGAACTACACGGGAGGATCTTGTCAATGATCTCAAGGCAGCTGGGACCATAGTCACCAAGAAAACAATTGGTAACACACTTCTTGGGTGAGAACCTCCTTCCCTCAGCCAGGGCATTGAAAATGGGTCGTGGATGGGTATTCCAGCATGACAATGACCCAAAACACACGGCCAAGGCAACAAAGGAGTGGCTCAAGAAGAAGCATATTAAGGTCCTGTCCATGTCACTAACAAACTTGTATCAACTAGCCTATTCCGGGCCGTCAGTTTCCTGACCAGTGAGCTCTGGACAGAAAGCTGTTTTTTATGATGTTTCCTCTGCATATCATTATATTTTGCTCTTTCACACTGAGGCTTGTGATTATCGAGACCAGCAGTGTTGGAAAGATTTTCCAAATACTGAGGAACTATCATTCGCAATGGATGTTAAAAAAACAGAGACTTGGTTGACTTGTGTGAGGTGAAGAGTGGTGTACGTGGTGAGTTAAGCCAATCAGAAATAAGACATTGCCAAATGGGCACTTACCCACATATCCATGCATTCTGGAGATTTTACAGTTTAGTCATTTAGCAGACGCTCTTATCCAGAGCGACTTACAGGAGCAATTAGGGTTAAGTGCCTTGCTCAAGGGCACATCGACAGATTTTTCACCTAGTCGGCTTGGGGATTAGAACCAGCGACCTTTCGGTTACTGGCACAACGCTCTTAACCACTAAGATGCACCATATCTTCGCCACACCCCCCTCCCCTTCTTCTTGATGCAACATTAACTTCACACTTATTTTAGACGCTTTTCACTGAAAGCCGCAACTCAATCAGCTAGACCTATTGCCACACACACCACCCAAATTGCGGGCTTTCCAAACACACTTGTGATTTGAAACAATCCACAGAAAAACATTTTTAAAGAGCTAATAATCCTGTGTGTTTTAGTCATGCTCCCTGGTGAAGTATTTTAAGTATTTTATTTAGACACGGTAATTATATAATTTCGGCAAAACATCAATTTACTTTAGGGCAATACAGCATCCTACCAGTGCACTGTGCACCTGCCAACTTTCCTTTCCAATTCGCAAGAGGCTGAAACCAGAGATCTGTATATAATGACGAGATGCTCATGTCTCCGCCCTAACAATGGGAGTCTGTCGCAAAGGCGGGAAGGCAGGTCTACATATTATTCCCATTGAAACGCATTGGGCATATACTGGACAAATTTTGGCGAGAGTGAGCCCTCTTGCTTCGCCTCTTCCTCTCTGCTGAAACTATACTGAACAAAAATATAAACGCAACATGCAACAATTTCAAAGATTTTACTGAGTTACAGTTCATATAAGGAAATCAGTCAATTGAAATAAATGCAATAGGCCCTAATCTATGGATTTCACTTGACTGGGCAGTGGTGCAGCCATAGGCCCATCCACTTGGTAGCCAGGCCCACCCACTGGGGAGCCAGGCCCAGCCAATCAGAATGTGTTTTTCCCCCTAGACGCTGTCGTGCGTGAAAAGCCCAGGAGGCCGGCCGTTTCTCGGATACTGGAACCGGCGCCTGGCACCGACGATCATACCACGCTCAATGTCGCTTAGGTCACTTGTTTTGCCCATTCATTCTCGATACCGGTCTGCCTGCTTGATATAGCAAGCCACGGTCACGTGACTCACTGTCTGTAGGAGCAATCCATTTTTGTGAATGGGGTGGTGTACATAATAAACTGTCACCTAAATGTATATTCCCTTATATACAAGTCTTCTCACACACACACTTTCTCTGTCACACACAGACACAAGTACACACATAAACACGCATACACACACTTCACCCAATTAGTGGAGGAAATAAATAGGAGATACCATCATCTCTGTGTAGAATAGATATATGTGTATATAGTTAGATGTGACTGTGTTGATGTTACAGCGCATAAACAGCAGAGGGCGCTACAGAACTCTAGTCCACTCAGTTTTTACCAGACTCAACTACAGGTTCATGTCCTGGCCGGCTAGTGAGATAGATCGCTAATGTATGATTACTGTCTCACTCTGTTCAGTCTGGTGTGGCTGTACCTGCATGTCTATTTGAAAACACCTTAGACCTCTTACTCTCAATCCCCTGCCTTTCATCTCTCTCCTTCATTCATCTCCTATCATCTTCTTCCCTCTCTCAGTCTCCTGTCTCTCATCTCTTCCTTCGTTCATCCCTCCTTCATTCCTCTCCCT